TCTTCACCCCCAGCCATCTCCCCAGCCCCAGGAACGGAATCTTTAAACTGCGCTTTATTCGGAGAGTGGGAGAGCTGACAAGGTAGCAAATTTAGCGTCTTTAAAAGCCCTCCTTATGTTCATCTCCAGGCAGGAGGAATAAAGACAGCTTCTGCAGCGGCTCTGCCCCTCCTGTAAGGTGCCAGCCATGTTCCTGAGGTTTCTGTCTGTACCTTTTTGTTATCATCCCTTGTTCTCTTCCCTCACTCTCTGGCTATCTGGGGCTTAGGTGACGCCTTGCAACACAAGTCGTTAGCACTTTCCGCTGGGGGAGGGGCATCTGGACTGGGAGTATGTGGTTGATGCAGAACAAGCCATTAAGAGTTTGTGTTAAGCTATTAATAACACACACGTGTGGACTCCTTTCTACAATATAGAATACAAATGTGCCCTTATATTACAGGATATACAAATGCCACCGTCTGTCCTTCCTGCCTCCTCTCAATAAAACCATGTCTGAAGAGCCTGTTTATGAAAGGTATAATAAAAATATATCCATTCTGTTGGAGTAAGAAACGGCACTAAGCACAAATGCCAGCAGGTTGCCCAGGTGTGGTAAATGACGTGCTGTGGGCACTGACTCTCCTAACATCCTGGACCTGAAATCATTCCCATTTTAATGTTTTTGCTATTCTACATGTATGCGTATTTTGCTTGAAGGTATGTCTGTGTATGCAGTGCCCATACTAAGGCTAAAAGGGAGTATCAGATCCCCTGGGACTGGAGTTAAAAATGGCGGCTGCCGTGCGAGTGCTGGGCATTGAACTTGGGTCCTTTGGAAGAGCAATCAGTGCTGGGGATCTGAACTCAGGTCCTCACGCCTGTGCAGCAAGCACTTTATCCAGAGCCACGTCTTCATGCCCAGACGCACCCCTTGCACGTAGAAAACCCTCACTAGACAAAGCACATACAAGCTCTCTACACTTTTTACTCTTTATTTTAAGGAAAGAAATTCCATTGAATCAAAGATAACAAAATTACAGTTTTTGTTTGTAATGATCTTTGTTGTTCACCACCACACGGAATCAAAGTAGAATCAAAAGTAACGTGAGAACATAAAACAATCAAGGACGCCGTCGCTTAGTATAATTTCTTAATAAAGGTAAATATCCTCGTATTTAGAAAAAGTTGCATTGCTAAGTGCAAGTCTGAAACGCCTGGTGCTGGGGGAGTCAAAAGACGCAGCACCACAGGCAGGGGCTTTCAGAGCACGGACTCCAAAATACGGTATTTCCAGGGCAGCATCTGGAGTTCCGTAAAACCCAGAGAGAACAAAACGAAATGAGTGAGAATCAGGAATGTGAAAGAGATGGTTCTCAAAAATCAATCTGGGAGCAGTTCTGCCAACGCAAGACTGTGGTTGGTTGGAATTGGGGGGGGGGAGGATGGAGGGAGTCGAACTGGCCTCCTCCCCTGCCCCAGCCCTGGGTCACTAAGGCCACGGCAGTGGGGGGAAAGTAACTCAGGTACAGTGAAGGTCTGCCTGAGGCTGTGGGAGAGACCCAGGTCACCTGGAACGGGTGTGGGGATGGGGAGGTGACAGGATTCTACACCGACTTGTGCTTTAGGGAAACTAAAGAGGCCAAAATGGAGATCAAAGTGAGCCTAGCTCCTATAGCCAGGAACTGGGTTCCCGCATGGGAGCAGCCTGAGAGAGCAGTGATTGGCCTTGGGGACCAAGGAGGTTGGCAATTGTTTTAGGCGACGTTGACTGCTCTGTGGGTGTGGTCTGGGGGCAGAATGCCCACTTAAGACTGAGGGTACTTCTGCAGGTTCAGAAGTGGCCCGTCCCCAGTTTATGGCAATAGAAGATTACTTGGCTAAAGGGGACCAGAATGGGGAGATGGAAGGTTATGGATTTTGCTGACAGGAGTCTAGTTAGAGGCTGAGAACTTTCACGAGACTCAGGGTGTCAGACTTAATCTACCAATGAGAAATTAATTTCAACTTCTGTATTAGGCATCGGTGAAAGCTCTACCTACACACAAGCTAGGAACACAGTTGGAAAACATGGAGGACGGACTCTTCCAAAAGGGACAGCGGTCTAGGTTCCGGGGACTGTTGGCAAGCCGGACTGTGTGGCCTGCTTCTAAGGACCACGACCAGAGGATGCCGGGCTGTCGCAAAGCACCTGGGGGCAGCAGAGACAGGCCTGCGGGGCAGCCTTAGCTCTGGGTGCCATTCTGGTTCCTTACCAGCAGAGGCCTGCTCCTGTGTCCTGAGCTGTAGCTACAGTGCAGGACAAACAGTCCTGGTTTATGAGGAGGGGACACCGTCCTTTGCTTAGATACCAGGTGGAAGAAGCCTGGCCCCTAACCGCTTGCCATCTCAATGCCGAGCATCCGAGTGATCCAAAGTGGCTTTGAGAAGAGTAAGGCAAAGAAGACAGGTGGAGGGGCGGTTCCAGACCGCTCGCGTTGGTGGGGGTGAGAGGTGGGGGGGACGTCACAGGAGCCTCCGGGCCACCTGAGGAAATTCTCTGGTTGACTGTGGCTTGGCTTCAAACTTTCAAAGCAGAAGAGTTTGAATTCTTCCGCCACAGTGTTGTCAGACCAGGGGATTTTCTAGAGGCAAGTTAAGGCTTTCTGGGTAAGGAAAACAATTCCAGGTGAGACCGTGACAGGACACCCAAGTGACAAGCTCCCTAACAACTTTCCTGTATGTCTACAGAGAAACAGAGGACCTTCCAACTCCACTTTGTTTGTTTGTTTTTCCAATTTCTTCTTCTGTCCAAACTGTCACTCAAAGTCAGAATCAAGGCCATGGGAAAAGAGAAGCCTCCCCCATCTCCAGCACCTGCTTCCGGGGCAAACACAAACAAGAACACACATGCTTGTGTCCCCAGAGCTGGCAAACTCTACCTCAAGTCAGCCACTTACAAAGAGAGCTCTCATCCGGATGCCGGCCTTCTCAGCTCAGCTACCCAGAAGGCTCCGCTGAGGGCAGTCTGGGTTCAGAACCAGCCTGTACAGGAAGGACTTCTGGCAACTGTCCACGCTTTGCCTGGTCACACTGAAGGCCGGAGGTACTTTCCTTATGACTGGTGGCCCTCGCCTGTCACGGTCACAGGACCACCCTCAGAATGGCGAGGAAAATGCCTTAGTAGTGAAGACAGGAAGAGAGGCTAAGACGGCTTTGGACTCTGTCCAGGGTCCTGACTAGGACAAGCTGAATGGGCACGCCCCTTCTCTCCAAGTCTTCTCAAGAGGAGCCTAGGGGTCGCGAGTCACCTGTTTCTACCTGCAGCTTCAGACTATGGTTAGCAGCGACTGAGCAAATGATCTGGAAGTGGACGAAGCAGTTTTAGAGATGATACAACATGAGCCAGAGCCACTGGGGGCGAGAAGACAGGGCTCCTGACCCTGGTAATGGAATGCCATGCGAACGAAGGAAGACCTCCCTTCGGGAACATCCCAGGAGCTCCTAAGGTCCCCGTAACTGTGAGATGCCACAGAAATGAAAAGAATACGGACGGTATGGCAAACTTCCCGCCGCCCTTCTGCTCACGGGTGGACGATGCGAAGTCATCGCAGTAAAAACAGGTTCTCAAGCCTGGGAACCTCCCTGCTAACTACACAGTCTTGATCATTTATTTTTTTCCAAGCTAATTTGACTGAAGATAATGTCTTCCAATTATCTGGGAGGGAGGAATCAGAACTAGGGTAATGCGGTGCCTTCCGCACTTGGGTTTTAATGCTGTTCCTGCCATAGACTTGTCTAGTTCTCGATAACTTACATTCCTGATTTTTAAGACAGAATATTCAAATGTTCTCCACAACTTCAGTCTTTGGTTCAAGTCAGTCCTTGAGAGCCAGCGGGCAATTCACATCATCATTAGAAGTGGATGACTCTGGAAAGAAAGCAAGGGAGCGCAGAGGAAGGAGAGGGGCTGACCTACATAAAGGGCTTGTCCGCTCATTCATTAGGCAAGCTGCCACCTCCACATTCATGCTTCTGTGCTCTCATTCAGGGGCCAACAAGAACCCTCCTGTCAGACTGCCATGGCCACGGCCTCATTTCCATGCCCGAGGGCCCGGAGCTGGAATAAAGAGCTCCAGTCGATTTCACGAGAAGCAAAATGGAACGCCAGTGCCATTCAGAGCCGCACACTGCGGAGGCTGCAGCTGGCACAAGTCCCCTCCCCCAGTCCTAGGGGCTGGACTTCCAGTGGTGTGGCAACAAAGGCTGCGCCCTAGCTCTGCCTCTCTTTGGTGGGCCTCCAGGCCTGCTGCAAAGACCAGGCTCCCAGGACAGCCCCCCACGTCCTCCTAGGTATGACAACAGGGCGACTCTTCTCTGAAGCAGGTGGTACCCAAGCTACTGAAGCAGGTGGTACCCAAGCTACTGCAGAGTCAGGACTTGGAACGAGATGACCTCAGGCAAATGGAGGGAGCCCTTACTAGGGATGGCGACAACTCTATGCCCTTATGGCTTTCTTTCCAAGTCTTAAGAGATAAAGGCAGCAGCAGGAACTCTGGGAGTCCCCTAACAGCTGCAGTTGGGCGGAGGGAAAACTGACAGAGAAGAGTTAGCTTCCAAATTGAGGGATGAATGATAAAGTGCCAGTCTGTGCCAAGGGAACATAAAAAAAAAAAGCAACAGAAAAATGACAACCATTGGCGGGATGCGGTGACAGAATTTGTTGAGCGTGAAGAGATTATAGCAAAGGAAACTGGGGACCTCAGACAGCTCAGTGTTCCGGGGGAATGTCCGTTCAGGACGTTACGGGGTGACCTAGTGATTGTCAGGGAGCAGCTCTGCAGTCTACAGACATTCCTGTCACAGTCTCTTGGGCCAAAGCCCACACTCTCTATTGCACCTGCAGCCCTGAGGACTGGCGTTCGGGGTACAGGTGGCTCCATAAATATCTACACAGACTCACTACTGTATTTCATTCAGTCCTGGAGCCAAAGAAGATGAAACAGAGAAAAAAAAAAAAAACATTTTTTTTTTAAACAGTATCCAGGCAATTCATCCACAGGTCCATTTAATTCCAGAGAGCAACTGCGGATTTTTTCAAAGTGAAGGTTCTCAGGGATTCAAGTGGCACAAGGATAGGAGAAGAGGACTTGAGCCACAGAGTGCCGCGCCCACTCGAGCAGACAGCTTGGGAAGCCTTACCCAACAGACAACACACAGAGGCTATTGAACCACACACTGACTTCAAAAGAATACCCTGCCCTCTCAGCTGGAAATCCATTTCTCCAAACTCAGATCTGACTTTTGAGTTGTTTGGTATCAAAACCCAGAGTGAGATGGACCTGGGATGAAAACCTAAAATTGAGTTTAGGTGAGTGATTAAGACTCTAAATCTCTTTATGTGAACTGGGGAAAGGAGAAAGATTGTGAGCCCTTTCATTTGCTCCCAGGCTCCCCCAGAGGGAGGTTCACTCAAACCTCAGTATACCGAGTTTGCCGCCGAACTTTAGAAAGGGTGGTTATCTCAGCAATCTACCTGGTCCAAGTTCTCCATTTAATAGGGGAAGAGAGTCAGGTCCAAAGGGATTTATCCAGGGTCACACATCTGGGAAGAAGCAGAGCTAAGGCTCAACCCAAATGTCCTCTCCCTTTTAGGGACACCGTACCGAGATTACACAAAGGGAGTCATACAGCAGACAGTGCTGCTTCGGAGGTCTCTGGGAGCAAAGAGACACTGTGGCTTATGAATGTCAATTAAATGAGCCACCAAGATGTTCCTAATTTAAAGGGGCTGTATTACAGTATGGGGTTTCCCTCAGTTTGCTGGGTGATGAGAATTCCCTGGGGCACTTGTCAAAAATTAAAATCCCCAGACCCCTCCCCAAACCCACTGAGTCAGCCTCTCCGAGGGGAGGGATCCGAGAGGCTGAATTTTTAGACAAGTGCCCCACGCCACTCTCAGCAGCAGCAGCAGCAAGGCGGGAGGAAGGTGTCTCAGGAAGACAGTGAGAAGGAACTGGCTTTAGACTCAAGAAATTTCCTTTGTTTCAGTGGCAAAACTCAGGCCCAGGAGGCACCAGGCTCTCAGGCTTCCAAAGCTAAGTCCTTTCTTCAGCATTGGTCAGAGATGCTGACTTCTTGTTGGGGATTCTATGAGGGCACATACAACCATCACCAAGTGACATACATCCTTCACGGTTCTCAGAGAGAGGCCTTTTGATTGGCAAAGCAAAACCGCAGCTCAGATGCGGTCCTTAATAGGAAAACTAGATACAACTGGCGTGAAAGCAATCAGATACTGAAGCTGGACAGAAGGGGGAGAATCTTGTAGCTTGCCACCATGGCTAACAACGCAACGGAGGAAACCCGTAACTAAGCACAAAAATAGCCTGGAGCTCCCAGGAAGAGCCGCCTACTTAAGACAGGTTGCATGATGGGGGGGCCCCCCACTGACGGTATGAGGTCAGATCCAGGTCACTGAGGGAGATGGGAGACCTGAAACAGCCGCGGGTTCCAGAGGAGGGGCTGCAGGAGCACGCCAGAGTCCGGAGGCCTCATTCGAACTCGGCCTCCATCTGCTCCGTGTCTGAGCACTGGGACTTATTCCTTTCCCACTGGCAAATGGCGTTGGCATACTCCACCACCAGCTTGTCCATCCATGTCAGTGGCTCGGGGAACAGCACGGAGCCCTCGAAGAAGCCCAGGTGGCCCCCGTGCAGAGGCAGCACAAACATGACGTTCTCCCGTTTCTCTGCAGGGGGAAAGGCAGCAGAATTACAGCATCCTATTAACTCCAGAGCAAGAGGGCAAAGGCGAGGAAGCTGGGGGGGGGGGGGCTCGGCATTCCTTGGAGGGTACCTAACCACGCACACCGTGCTGTCTTTCTCAAGGGGACAGGCAAGCCAGCAGGACCTCGTGAGTTTGGTGTAAAATGGGCACCAAAAGGGCCGGGCACATAGCTCAATGATAAACACTACCCTGTTTAGTAGTAGGGAAACCCCAGAGTTCAATCTCCAGCACTGCCAAAATAAAGAAATAACACCAGTTCATAGAATGGGTACCAGCTTCAGAATTCCTTTGAACCCATACTTAAAGTTCCATAAGCCCAAGCTACACCCTGCCCCTCACATAACTAAGTTATAACCTTAGGGATAAAAGAGAGTGAACGAGGGAGTCCGTGCTTTCTCACGCCAGACATCAATCTTCAGGACTGCGAGGTGTGTAAGAGATGCCCAGGTTCCCAGTGCTATGATCTAAATGGCTATCCTGAGAGCTGAGGGCCTGAAGCTGGACTTTGGGTCCATGTTTAAGTTGGTCTCCATGGCTACTTGGAGAGGTGCGGAGAAGAGGCAGCCAAGTTCACCAGGAAATATGTTCCGGGGGGCCAGAGTGGACGAGGCCTCATCTCACTTCCTCCACTATCCCCTTCTGGTTGCTATTCTGTGGGATAGCTAACGCCATCCCGCGAATGTTATTTTTGGTCCAGGAGATAGGTGCTGTTGCGCGTGGCTGAGTGGGCTGTGGTGTGGTCTGCTGGGGGTCTTGAGGGTGGCTGGGGGTTGACAGGAGATAGTTTTTGTCATGAAATAGGCACCCTTCCCACACACATGCAGTCTTTTTCCTGAGCAGGAAGAAGCTCTGCGAGGCGGCTTCTTCTGCTACCTTATCTGCTCTTGCAGCTGTAGTGGGAGGTGGCGGGGGCCACAGGGTTAGCTCCTCTTTTAGGCTACCATATTTACAAGAGGAAACGTAATCACAGAGGTCTATGGAGATGATACCCCAGGGACCTGAAACTGCACCGCGAAGTAAGTGGAGCCCCAGCCTTTCCTCACGTTTCCTCCCTCTGCCTCCCCTGTAGCGCCGACCCCGGGATAGACTGAGCCTGCACAGCGTTTCTGTGAGCAACGTTCTCTGCCATTTCAGCTGCTTATAACCTCCAGGCAGATGGAGGGGCTGTCATGGGAGGGAGCAGAACGGGCTTTGTTTTCTGTTGCCTTTTAGGGCAAAGAGAGATTTAGTTCTAAATCTCTCTTTAAGTCAGGCTCTCCTATTTAACAGACCGATAGCTCTGAGACAACATCCCTACAGAACACTCTTGGTGACGGATATCAAGAATGGTCCTGTCTCCGGCACCAGGATGGAAGTCTAGAAGGTTCTACCCAGGGGCCTTTGCCAGCCAATGGGCTGCCCCCTCCCCTGAGGCTTGTCTCCATCTGCCGCCAGAACAGCGGGGGAAAAAGGGACAAGATGGACAGCGGTAATCTGCTGTGTGGCTGGGAAAACAGCGGGGAAGAGACTCACCTGAGAGAGACTTTGGAATGGTCAGAAGGCTTTCGTGCACCAAGGGGTCGTCAGCGGCATTAACCAGCATTAGAGGCACGTATATCTGCAGCGAGAAGAACACTGCTGTTACACGGCCCGCTCCCTCCCAGACAGGCCTTTGAAGCAAAGGGGAATGTTCAGGGCTCAGTTTGTTGGGCTGGAGCCTTAAGGATGCCTCACCATCACTGGCAACGAGAGGAGGGGCAAGTCTGCTGTGATCGCCACCTGGCAGCAGGTATTATATAGGAGCAAAGCGGCCAGGGCCCTAGGAGATCTGTGTGCTCATGGGAGACGGGGCTTAATGTGTCCTTACTCACAAGTGTTTCTGATTATCTTTAGTGTTTCATATTAGCCACCGTTCTCAGAAAAATGGCAGCATCAAGATGTCTGTCCGTCTGTCTGTCTGTCTATCTATCTATCTATCTATCTATCTATCTATCTATCTTTCCTTTGGCTTATAATATAAAAAAAAAAATAAAGTGAAGTGCACCCCACTATAGGGAAAGGAGACCTTTTAGAAGAATCTGAAAGATGCAAACAGGAGTGAGAGCCAGGTGTGTACCCTCATAAATCCCAGAACTTGGATGGCAGAAGCAAAAGAATTCTGAGTTCAAGGACAGCCTGGGATATATATATCTCAATACCCCTATTTCAGAAAATCAAGCTTTAGAGATGTCTCCAGTGGTAAAGCACTTAAATGGCAGATGTAAGGCCCTAGGTTCAATACCTATTTCAACAAAACCGCACAAATAGGAGCGGGTTGGTGGGTGTCAGGGAGCTCTTGGCAGGACTGTGCTCGGTATGCATATTAGTAAGACAGATAATAAGAGCCTCCTTTTGGTTTAGAGTATAGAGGGTGCTGATGGGGCACTCAGATTTCCTGAACTGCCACCCCGACATACTGAATGGCTGTGCTCTCCTGACACTCTGGCCATAGCTGAGACAGTCACAGAACTATCACTCACAGCCACCCCTATGGACACAGACACATGGGGAGCTGTGTGCTGGCATAAGAGCAACGGTGCATGGCAGAAGGGAGGAGTCTGGCTCAGTGCTGGTTCAGGAAATACGGGAATTGTGTTGGCCACCAACTTAGTAAACACAAGGTTTGCTGTAGGTGCTAAAAGAACAGATCAAAACCAGTCTACCTTTAATTTTTTTATGATATCAATTTGTGCATCTATGTGCGCGTGTGCGCTCATGCATGCGAGGTCTGAGGACAACTTGGGAGTGACTCCTCTCCTTCCACGGTGTGGGCCCTGGGTTTTGAACTCAAAGCACCAGCCTTGGTGGCAAGTACCTTCACCTGCTGAGCTATCTTGCTGGCCTTCTTTTTGCTTTGGAGTTGTGGTCTTTCAATGCAGCTCCCGCTGGCTGGGTATATGTATACCAAGTTGGCATCAAACTCACAGCAATCCTCCTGCCTCAGCTTCTTGAGTACTAGTTATTATAGGTGCATGTTACTATGCCTAGTACATGTTTCTTGTCACTTTGATACAGAACTCCCCCCAATTTATTCTGTTTACCAGAATTCTGAGAGTTCAGTACTAGACAGCATGTTAGTAAGATACAAATGGCCACAAGAAGGGGTCAAGGGCTGCAAGAAAGTCAGATGGATCTCCCACGAGAACCCATGGCAGAACACAGGTGTTTTTATTACTATATGGTCAAAGGATGTCTGAGGACATCCTGGATGCCTCAGGCAATTTGAGAGAAGCCTGGTCTGAGCACAGCTCTGGGACTTGAGACTACGGCAGTCACAGCGGGGGCGACCGGCTCAATAGAAGATCTGAGTGACAAACTAGCGTGGCGTGACAGTGTTCAGATTACGGCTCCGCTTCCCCAGGGAACTTATGAAGGGTATTTATTGTTGTACCGCGGGCAAAGCTGGCTGTGGTGACAGTGATTCTGAGGCGGGGCCGCCACTCACCCTGTGCAGGTATCTCATGCAGCTTTCTTCTTCATAGTATTCCTTCAGGGAGTTATAGCCGTGGAACTTTCTGGAACATGAACACACACACACAAAAAGGCAAAATGACATCTGTTATAGAGCTGAGCCAATGACTCTCCGCTTTCCACACTAACTTCACTGCAATGGCAGAAGCCACACAGGCAGCGGCTTCTCTATGGTTCTAGCTAGTGCACCAAAACGAACGTAGGTGGCAGAGTTTGGAGTCAAGAGCACGGGCTTAGGGTCTGGATTCAAATCTGGTTGAGCAATCTCAGGCAAATGTTCAAGATTCCTGGGCCTTAGCTATCTCACTGTAAAGTGGATCAAAGGCAAGACCTTCCTTGAGGGTGTTGTGAGACTTACTATATGGAAGGGCTTCCGTGCGCCCTGCCTGGAAAATCTCAATCAGTCTCAACTGTAATACTCAACATTGTCTACTGCATCTTTTTGAGGCAGCACCAAATCGTTTATCATCTTTGACGAGATACTCAGGGTCACAGACATGTATGAGCTAGAACTCCGTTTTCAGCAGAGTTACCCTGGAGCCGCTGGAATAGTGTGCTTGAAGTTACCAGTTCCCTCCACTCCAGGAGCAGTACCTGTCACTGGCCACCTGAGGTCTCACAACACCGGAGAGGCTTGCAGCTCTGCTCAGCTCTGGGCTGAGAGACCTGGAGAGTTCATTGGGGCTCTGATGCCCTGAGACCCCAAATTCTATCGTGGGCCAGAACACCTCTGAACCTCCCTTTCTTTCCTACCCAGGGAGGAGCCTCCAGGCTCTTGACATCCTGCCTCCTCCCCCAGAGCTGAGGATCTCTTCCACCTCTAGCCTTCTTAGGTACCCCAGTCTGGAAAAAGGACCCAGAAGGCTCAGGCTAGACCATTAGGGTCCCTTAGTGGGGAAGAGGCTGTGTGCAGAGATCACATCCAGGATGTGTGACTCTGTCCTCTGTGGTCTCCAAAGCATTCTGTTCCTCTAGCATTGCTGGTGACCACTCTGTGAGGAGGCTGCCAGAGCGGTTTGATTACAGGACCGCTGCCACCCAGCACTACAGATGATGAAGGCCTTCGCAAGAACTGAGGGGCTTTTCCTTTTGAGCTTAAATTAAGATGATGGATAGGAAATTTATATTACATTAAAATTAAATTACTTTTCTAACCTTATTAGGGACCACAGCAAGTTATAGACTGTACCCCAAGAGGGCTAGGCATTGTTTATTTCTGTGGTGGTGTGGATGCGATTGGCCCCCATAATCTCATAGGGAGTGGCACTATTAGAAGGTGTGGTTTTGTTGGAATGGGTATGACTTTGTTGGAGGAAGTGTGCCACTGTGGGGGAGGGTTTTGAGGTTTCCTATGCTCAGGAGACTGCACAGTGTCTCAGTCGACTTCCTGTTGCCTGGAAGATGTAGGACTCTCAGCTACTTCTCCAGCACCATGTCTGCCTGCACACCACCCCACCATGATGATAATGAACTGAACCTCTGAAACTGTAAGTGAGCCACCCCAATGAAATGCTTTCCTTATAAGAGTTGCCATGGTCATGGTGTCTCTTAGCAGCAATGAAAACCCTAAGACAATTTCCATCTTTTAAATAGACTAGCAATTCCATAGTTTTTATTTGCTCTGAGAAAACAGTAACTGGCCCCTTTGAATTTACCTGGTGTGAAAGGATAGGAAGGAAAAAAGTAGAGCTCTCTCAGCCTCAGGCCAACGGCCCGCTATCCAGGAGGACCTGTCTGCTCTAGGCTATGTCTAAAGGTATCAAAGGATTGTGAAATGTGAAAGACAGGGACAAGGTGTGAAGCCAACTCTACAAGTCAAGTTTCTGACTTCAATTAGAAGGTGCCGGTGTCAGCAAAGGTAAGATCATAGGAGCGCAAGCCAAATGAGAGAACCGGGTGGGGATTACATCTTCCGCCCAGAAGCATCTTCGCTTCCTCCCCGTGCCCAGAAAGTGGTTCCATGTGTTGTTGGAAACCTACAGGTCTCTTGGTCTACCTTTGGCTATCTGCTTTTGATAGATTCAGCCACCAAAGTCTGGGTAAACATCCTGAGGATGTACAAAAACTACCCTGCCCACTGCAAAGGCAGACCTGGGGGGTGCTGATCTTGTCCTGTGTTGAGGCAGGACATAACAGTTGCTGAGGGGAACCACTAGGTGGAGACACTTCACCCACCAGTTCAAAGCTGCCTGTGACACATGGTCAGAGGCTTTACCCATTTCCAAGAGATGAGAACTTTCCTACAATCGTTTCTCCTAAGCAACAGACTCTGACTGAAATGAGAAGAAGCCGCTGAAGCAAGGGGAGCAAGGCAGTGGCGTGGCAGAGCTGACTCTGGATAAGGCAGCCTCTGGCCCGGCCTTGGGAACCCACCTCATCACATTGTCATCAATCTGCATCAGGGATGTTGCTGTGTAGAGCCGGCTCAAGTCCGTGTCCTCCAGGCTCTGGGGTTTCTTAACATGGTCTCCAAAAAGAGCTTGTCTAGAACAAGACGCAGAAGTGAACAAAGTGACGCCGGAGAGAAGCCACCACAGTGGAGCCAGCTTTCCTGGCCAGTCGCCACGGGACCAGAGTTACAGTAAATTAGACATACAGCCCTCCAGCCTTTTATTTATTTTTGGTTTTTGTTTTCCTGTGTTACTGGGGATTGAACCTAGAGTCGTAGGCATGCGAGGCAAACACTCTACTGTAGGCTGCAGCCCCAGTTCTTTTTTTTTTTTTTACTTGTATTGTTTATTTATTTAAACACAGGGTCCCCTGTAGTCCAGGCTAATTTTAAATCTCTCAGGTAACCAAGGATGACCTCGAACTCCTGAGTCTCCTGCTTTTACCTCCCACATTCGGAGATTACAAGAATGTGCTATCATGCCTGGTTTCTTTGAGCCTTTAGAATATAATATCCACGATGAGCATGCATAGGAAAATAAACATTAAAGCCCTCCTTTCCTTCCAGGGTACCAAGATAAACTGAAGACTAGGTTTCAAGCTGGCCAGATATTACACAGCCTTTAGCACAGGGGAGGAAGCCCAGGAAAGCCTTTTGGAAGAGTGATAGGCAGCGAGCCAAACATGGAGATTCAGGTTTACACTGATGTGGATGCTGCCAACTGTTGGCAGACCCTTGCTCCCTTACAAGCTGCTTGTGTTGCTTAACAAGGAAGCTAACCAGTAACCCCTTTGGCATCTGGCTAAATCAGCAGCTCTCTACAGTGTCAGCTGAAAAGCTGTCCCTTGGTACCCACAGGCAATTAGTTTTAGGATATTCCTCAGATGCTGGGAGGTGGTGGCGTACACCTTTAATTCCAGCACTCTGGAGGCAGAGACAGGCAGATCTCTGTGAGTCTGAGGCCAGTCTGGTCTAGAGAGTGAGTTCCAGGGCAGCCAGGGCTACACACAGAGAAACCCGGTCTTGAAAAACAAAGCAAAGCAAAACAAAGCAAAAGAAAACAAACAACAAGAGGATATTCCTCGGAGACCCAAATCTATAGATACTCCAGGACTGGAGGGTGGTAGTGGTGGAATGGGATAGGGCAGGGTCTCTTTGTGTTCCCCGGGCTGTTCTCAAGCTCCTAGGCTCAAGCAATCTTCCTGTCTCTTCTTTTTTGAGTAGCTTGGACAACAACACGTGCCAGCATACCTGGCTTTAGGATGTGCCTGTAACCCTGCCATTTCCTGCATGCTTAGTCACCTCTCAATGACATTAGGGACGGAATGAAAACAGTTGCTAGACTTGACTATACGATTTAGGAGATGAGTGAAAAAACTTGCGGGCGTGAGGGTGATCAGGCTGCCTAGGCTGGTGACCCCCTCATCCCTCACAGCTCCCTGTGTGTCTCTATGGAAACTGCATGTTTGGTCAAAGAGGATGGCCTTCCCTAAAGAAGAAACGGTCTTTGGTCAAGGACACACAAGTAGCTATGACCCCCTGCTAGGACCTCCAAACAAACTCTCAGGAGGTAAACTTGCACACATTCGGCACAGATAAAGCCAGGGTTAACCGTGATCTCCACCCGCTGTTGTTTGGACCTGTGCATCTGTGGAGATGGAGGAGTGGGATCCATACAGAGGTCGTTTCTATGAAGAGGACCGTCCGTCCGTCCGTTTAGGACAAGACAATGAAGGTGGGGATGACAACGGGCAGGGTGGACTTCCCTTCCAAGCTGGTGTTCTCAGTCACGCAGCTAAGGGAGGACTGCGTCTGCTTTGAGGGTTGGCGCGACAGTAGGAAACAGTCATGCCAGAAACGCAGGGCTCTGTATCCATTTATAACCTCCAAAAGGAGATCAGCATCCTTTCTTAGGACTTACTTTTTCCCAAATAAGGCGGCAAAGGATTGGATTCAGAGCCTAAATTTTCCCTCGGATTTCAGTCAGTTGGCTTTCTGTGGTAAACACACCAACATGCCTTCCCAATTTGCTAGCAATTGCATAATGAACCTTCAGGACTTTTTAGCAACACTTGCACTTTCTGCAAAACACATCTTCCCTCGGAGAACTCACTGTCCATTCTTAGAGGTGCAGACATAAGGACTTAAACACTCTAACTTCACGCGTCTGGCTAGAGAGCCTCAGTAAATCCTCAGACTCACCGGAACTTCAGCTGGGCTGCCTCCAACTCAGTGGCCAGCATGTGACCACTGTTCAAATTACATAGTTGAATAGGATTGTTGACTTTGCCTCAGCACAGGGGGCAGAAATCTCTCCTCAACCAACCTGATACAAGGACCTGAGGACATGCCTTGTAGCTTTGTAGTTTGAGGGTCTGTGAGCACCCCCCCCCTTTGCTCAGGTACCATGTGAGTCCCACCCACTGGAAGCTCAGCATGGCCTGGGGTGTGCGGCTAAGCTGGGCTAGACAATGCTGTTTTAATCACTAGGGTGGAGGGAGGAAATTAAGAGGTGAGCACTGGGGCACATGCCTGGGGGCCCCATATGCAGGAGGCTGCAGCAGGAAGATTGCTTGAGTTCAAGAGTTTAGGGTCAACTTAGGCAACACAGTGAGATCACAACTAAAACAAGCAGTTCAAGCCTCCCCTCACCCCCAAAACACCCCCAAAACAACCAACCAACCAAAAGGACCAAGAGACAGATCACGTAGAATGCGTTTTTTTCTCAGGGCATTGACAAGAGTCCCTGCCAAAGTGTATTTCTTGAGCATTCCTTGGGTGCCAGGCTCTAGGGCAGTGTTGTGACCCTTTAACACAGTTCCTCAGACTGTAGTGACCCCCCCCCACCATAAAATTATTTTTCTTGCTACTTCATAACTGTAATTTTGCTACTCTTATGAACTGTAATGTAAAAATATCCGTTTTCCTGATGGTCTTAGGCGACCCCTGTAAAAGGGTCGATCTCGAGGGGGTCGAGACCCACAAGTTAAGAAAGAACCCAGAGGAAGCCTCAGACAACCAGCTTAATGTGAGAAGCGTGACCGAGATGGGCCTCAAGGGACAGTGTGGGCCCTGTGGGCAGATGCTGGCAAGGACAGAGGTGTGGAGAGGCCAAGGGAGCAGGGGTCTCCACAGGCTCCAGTCTAGTTAGAGGTAAGGGAAGTGCCATAGAGAAGCAAGAGAGACCAACAATGGGAGTAACCAGAACAAAGCCATCGCTGATACCTCCTGGCCGACTCCTGCTCCCTCTGCATGGCTCCAAGGGCCTGAGCCAAAGCAGGCACTGACGCGTTGCTCTGAGCCTCCTGCCACGCGGCTGAAGCTGAGGACTGGCCGAGACCCAGGGCTGAAGCCCTTCCCAGCAGCCTCCTGAGGAGGAAGGCCCTCAGAGTGACAGGCCCCATCAGGGCTGCTCTCACTGGGCACAGAAGCCCCCTTGTTACCCCAGGCATCTTCTGAGACAGAAGGGGAGGGGCACACCTGTGGGACAGGATGATCTTCTTCATGTTGTCGGCCATGAGGAAGTTGTAGAATCGGCGGCACTGGTCCCACTGCATGAAGGTCTCCTGGGCCCTGGAAGAACCACAGCAGATGAGAGGCGCCACGACTGCAGCGCGGGGCTGTGTGGGCAGCGCATGCTGGCTCGTGCCCACGTTGGGTACCACTTTGACGCGCGGCATCCAGACAGTTGGGGAGAGGCCACAAAGCCCTCTGAAGATGACCCAGCGGGAAGCCTCCAGGGCCATAATGGCACAGCTGGCTGCTGGTAACAGGCCCGACACCTCCTGGCCTGCCAAGAATCTGCTGCTACTGCTTAAATAATTAACTGGGGAGCATAAAGGTGCGTGTGATGTGCTCACCAAACAAAGGCTGAAGCTTCACGTGGAGAAGAATACACTTTCCGAGAAGCCCCTAGCATGTACGGGACCTCCCTGAACCTCGCAGGTAGAAACGCAAGCCACATCATCACAAGCAAGCCACACCGTCACAGGCGGGACACTATCAACACGTGCCTAATGTCCTTTCTCTCAACCATCGAGCCACAGCCCGCTGCTCCTCTACTTGGTTCCTCCAGTCTTGACCTTCAATCCCTGCGGCTGCTTGCTCTGAGAGCCCTGTCCTGGTTCCCTAGAGCCCGTTTTCTCTTGATCTCATTCATTTCTCCCTCTGCTTAGATCCTGAGTGAGGAGCATCCTTGCTTTCATTAGGACCTACCTAAGAGAAGAGGGGCTGCAGAGATAAGGAGGGGAGGGTCGTCCTGGCCATACAGTTAGGTGCCAGCAGTGCAGAGGGTTTTAGGTGCAATATCACGGGTGCTCATTGCAGAAAAGTCCCTGAGTTCACAGGGATCCAGACCCCAAGGAGGGTGAGGACATGGATGCCGGGCCAATGAGCCACATGCCTCTGGAGGGCGGCAGTGTCTGCCTGGGATTTAGGAGATCCAATGAACAGAGGGATGGAGCGTGCCACAGGAAACTGTGGCAACACAGGGTACCAAGATGGACTGTAAGTATCACTCACAGAGGGATGAGGAGCAGTGGGGTCATGAGAGCGTACAGGAAACTCTGAAGGGGGGGCAAGAGAGGATGCTATAGTCTCAGATAGCCTTTCGAGATGAGTGGTGCACACACAAGGAGAACCTAACTCAGGAGAGTAGAGAGAATCCCAGGGGAGGGGCTGCTGAGGTGGCTCAGTGGGCAAAGGCGCTTCCTGCTATGTGACAAGCTGAGTTCAGTCTGTAGATCCCACATGGTAGGACAGGACCGAGCTTCAAAGACATGTCCCCCGCCCAGGCACCATGGCCCACACCTTTAATTCCAGCACCCAGAGGAGGCAGAGGCAAGCAGAGCTATTTGAGTTTGAGGCTGGCCTGGTCTACATAGCACGTTTTAAGCCAGTCATGGCTATACACAGAGACCATTTAAACAATAAAATTGTTCTCTGACCTCCACATGTGTGCTGTGGCATGAATACACACTCATTCCCCACAAACAAACAGACAGACAGACAGACAAACAAGGTAATTACAGAGAAGGCCCCAGAGATACTGCTAACATCACGTGAGGTGGGCAGGACCCTGTGAGGGAGACTGTGTGGCTACTCAAAACCCTAGAGGAAAAACTTGCAAATTATGTTTGTGGGAGCTGCCTGTCAGGTGTAAGAAATGAGTTTTATATTTGGGATGCCAGTCAGAATGCAATGCACTTCCCTGTTCCACCTGCCCAGCTGCCATGCAGGGACGAAATGCCTCCTGCCTCTAGCATCTGCAGGAAGAGGTTACGCTGGTCTCATGTATGGAACCTTCCTTCCTTCCTTCCTTCCTTCCTTCCTTCCTTCCTTCCTTCCTTCCTTCTTTCCTTCCTCCTTCCTTCCTTCCTTCTTTCCTTCCTTCCTTCTTTCTTTCCTTCCTCCTTCCTTCCTTCCTTCCTTCCGTCCTCCAGCCATGGCTATGAGCCCCAGACAGTGCCAGCACACAGGGGACAACGGTGCTTCTCTGTCCTGCCTCAAGAGTCCATGTGAGGACGGCAGCCAAATGCCAATCACAGTCTAGAGACTCAACTGACCTCTTTCCTATTGCATGAGGCTCACGTGACAATAGCCACTTGTGTCACTGAGCTCTTGGAGGTCTCAGGGAAGGGCGGCTCCTCCTTTACTCACTCAACTGCCTTATTTGCTAACTGTGCTGCTCATCTGCCAACAGCAGACGGCGCTATTGCTACAGATTGCAAGGAAACTTGTTTACTGTAAGACTGAGAGGCCAGGAGGGAGGAGAAAGGAGAGAGGAGGGGAAGAAAAGGGCAAATTTGTCACAAGCTTCCTATTTATAAGACCCAGTGCTCTCTGAAGACTAGGTTAGCATCCACGGCAAGTTCCTGGCACCGGGGTTGGGAAGGGAATCTGATGGTTTCTAACACAAAAGATGTCAGGATGCTGAACCTGACCAGCAGTCATCGGGCTGGCCTTTGTGACCCCTGATCTAAGCCACCCTCTTCATTTCCCAGTGACCGGTAGCGATGCTGCTGACGATTATGTTCTGTAGCCAGCATTGTTCTGAGTCCTTCACACACACGAACTCATCCTGCAGAGTTTGCTGGCAGGAGAGCTAAGGGCTGAGGTACACATTTGCTCCCTAGGCCAGCTTCCCAGGGTGCTGAGAGGTAAATTTTTCAGGTGAGGGCACTGCTTAGAAGAGTTCCAAATGTCCCTTCAGACACCATCTGACACACACCCATCCTGCTGGACGGGGAGGATCTGGGGTCACAAGACCCAGGGGTCAGACACTGTTGTTTCCCATGTTCTCTTGTTAACACATAGTTCTGCCATAGTCCTGAAATTCAGACATAATCTGAGACTCCCTAGGGAGGCAGCAGCTATTACAGCGGCTTTGGTGATCCAATTACAGATCTGATCCTAAAATACCGTGATGCACCTCAAACCTAACAGGCCTGCTAGGGTAACTTTAGTGTACGACACGGAAGCAGATCCAGCTGAGAGTTGAAAAGTTCTGCTCGGTCTGCAAGGGGCTCCCTGGAACCTGTGCTAGTGTCTCGGGTTAGCTCAACAAACGAGTACCGTCAACTGGAGGACCCAACAGAATATGTGTGTGTGTGGGGGGGGGGCAGATGACTCACCTCAGCGCGCTGTACCCCTGGCACACACTAACGCAGCACAGGACCTTCTCCTGGTTTGCCTGCGTCTCCCCCAGGTATTTGCACACGATGTTACCGCCCAGGCTGAAGCCCACGACGACCAGCTGGGTCTGGGGATATGTCTTCTTGATGTAGTTCACCATGGCTCCAAACTCCCACGTGCAGCCTGAGGGCAAAAGGTAAGGTCACCCAGTCATTTCAAATGCAACAAATACTGAAGAACATGCAAGCTAGAGACTTTCCTAACTGGGAGCCGCCACGGTGAAAGAATGAGACATACATATGTGCATATATGTTAAGAAACATATATGGACATTAGCAGAGTTTGTGAGCAGATGCACACATATCCACAGATTTACGATGCTCCTTTAAAGGTGGACTGTGATTTACCAGTTTAGGTGCCCATGGGCCCCCAAACAGATCTTTAGGGTGAGTATAAGCACCCACGTTAGTGCATAGATATATACACAAGCTAGAGTTAAACCCCGTGGGGGATTGATTGGCTTCTTAGCTACAAATTGGGGAGGCATACCCATGTGTACAATGATTCATGGTGTTAAGAACCCAAAGGACATTATTTACAGGATCTTCTTGCTAACTCTGGGGAGGGGAAGAAGATGAACTCCAGTCCAGAGGGACACCTGGGGTGCTCTGTAGGGTTCAGCCAAATGTTCTTGGTGACAGGGATAGCCTGCCAAGGGAGGCCAACTCATTCAGAAACACTCAGGGGCCCTGTGAATGGAGAGGATGTTTGGGCCTGGTCTGCCCAGGAGGAATGATCTCAGCTGGTGTCCTCTGGGAAACTGGCGGAGTCAAGCCATACCTCTGTAGCTTTGCTAAGAGAAAGAAGCTGGAGGGCAAAGGATTTAGCAAGTCCTGCTGAGGGGCCAAGGCTGGACTGCAGGGAGCCAGTTTAAGGTTAAACTTAGCTGAGAAACTATTGAAGGCCAGCATGGAAGAGTGGATTTGCAATGGTAATGGGAACTGCTGCCCTGCCAGTGGCACAGTGGTTGGAGAGCCCTAATGGCCCAACAGTGGCTTCCAGAATTGGCAAGCTATGGGGAACAACACTTTTAGAGCCCATGATAACCACCTTCTGTCTGTGCTGTTTGATACAAACCAGAGGCATTTGGGAAGCGGGAACCTTAACTGAGATGGTGCCTCCTCCAGACCAGGCTGTAGGCAAGTCTGATGGGCATTTGTGGGGGGAGGATTAATGATTGGTGGGAGCCGGCCCAACCCACTATGGGGGCTGCTGGGCAGCTGACCTTGGGTTGTACAAAAAGCAAGCTGAGCAAGCCAGGAAAACACGCAATAAGCAGCAGCCGTCCATGGTCTCTCCATGGTCAGTTCATGCATCGAGGTTCCTGTTTGAGTTCCTGCCTTAATTTCCCCCCAGTGATGGACTGTGACCTGGCAGTCAGAAGATGAAATAAACCCTTTCCTTCCCCACGTAGCTTTTGGTCATGGAATTTAATAACAATTCAGTAACAGAACCCAGACTAGGTATATCTACTGTCTTCATCTTTTTCCTGGGGTGGGGGGTCTCATGTATCCTAGCCTGTCTTCAGAATATTTGGGGGTGGGACCTAAAGGGCATGGGTGCTCTTTGGAGGGTCCCCTAGGTGGTCTACGTGTACCACTAGGCCCAATAACCATTTCTGTAGTGAGGAAGGATTTTGTCTGGGCATTATGGCTCACGCCTGTCATCTTAGCATCTAGGAGGCTGAGGCATGTTTGTGGTCTAGCTAGGGCAATTAGCAAGGCCTTGTCTCAAAAGAGAAAAAAATAAAACAAAGCAGGCCTGATGGTACACCTTTGTAACCCAGAACCCTAGGTGCACGCATGCGTGTGTGTATGTCGAGGCAGGATTGCTTGAAGTAGAAGACAGGGTGGACTATCTAGTGATGTCTCACAAAACATACAACAACAGAGTGACCCAGCCCTGAACTACATGAGGAAGGATTTTTTGTTTGTTTGTTTGTTTTTCAAGACAGGGTTTTTCTGTGTAGCCCTGGCTGTCCTGGAACTCACTCTGTAGACCAGGCTGGCCTCGAACTCAGAGATCTGCCTGCCTCTTGCCTTCCGAGTGCTGGGATTAAAGGCATGCATCAAACTGTCCAACAAGGAAGTATTTTTTGAGGTTCTTTCCTGTCTGTTTCTCGGTGATCTCCATCCAGATTTCGTTCCCTTTCTACATGCAGTAAGCAACCTGCACAGATGGGGGCACGGCACAGCATTTTAGAAGTTCTAAAGTCAAGCAACTTTCCACATTTCCTTAGTGCAAGGCTTTCCCAGGAGGCCAGTTCCAGGTCACCAAAGCCAGGCACTCCCTGAAGATCCTTACCGCCTGACAAAAACAAGCAGTTTCCCCTTTCCTTTTTCTAGCCCACTCCCTTTCTTCCTAGCCCAAGTTGGCCTGGGATTCATTAGGTAGACCATGCTAAGATGTCTCCAACTTGTGACAATCCTCCTGCCTCTGTCTCCCAAGTGTATGGGTATGAAGCCACGACACCCAGCTTCAGCTTTGCACAGTTGCTTTGTGGTGATGTTCCTCTGCAAAGAGGGAACTCGAAGACCTGCCTGGAAGTGAATCTCACAGCAAAGGGCTGGGGGTGGGCTCAGGGGTAGACGTGCTTGTTTGGCAGTATGTGGCTCTAGATTGATTCTCAGGCACTGAAAAAAAAAATAAGTGTCACCACGAGAGTGAGGCGCTGACTCAGTGCATGGCACCATGTGGCCCACTGTGTGGGAACTTGCTCCAGTTACTTCTTCTTGGGCCCGTGCCCCAAACCTTCTGACCCAGGAGCTCCAGAGGCAGGATTACACAGAGATCTGCAAGGTTCTAACCAAGTTCCTTCTGCAGAAGGTCTGGGTGGGCTGAGTCTACATTTCAATGTGACGTCATATGATGCCAACATTGTGGGCCCGGGGGGTCCACTGGAGAATCACCACCCTAGTGGACAGGGAAGGTGGATGTGGCAGGCGGCAGGGGGTCTGGAGTTTAAAGTTGTCCTTGGCCACACAGCGTGCTCCAGGCCAGCCTGGGCTACACGAGACCATATCTTGAAAACCAGAAAAGGTCTAACTCTTTGAATCACTGACATTACGGGCAGAAGGACTGTTGAGTTCAGGCCCAGCCTGGATTACATAGTTAGACCCTATCTCAAGTAAGAACAAAATAAAAAACATGGCATTTTATCTAGCAATTCCATTTCTGGAAACTTTATGCTGCAGATACACGATTGTATACGTGTGCAAAGATGTATGTACACGGATGTTCTTGGCAACTGCTGTTTGCAGCAGTGAAGACCTGGGAACAAGCCCCACTCCCATCAGTAACAGCAGCGGGTTGGGTACACGGAGCACTGTCCCGCTGTGAAAGATGAGGATGAAGAAGAATCTGACCTGCTGGGTGAATGACAATCCATCCTCCAGAGGGACTGAAACAAGGGAGGGAGCAGGAGAGGGTGCCATTCCACATGTGTGCTTAGGTTTGTATGTGTGTACAAATCTAATCGAGTATTCGTGAGAAACAGTGGCAGATACCAACCAAAGAACTGTGGGTCTCTTGCAACCTAGCTAGTTTAAATCTCCAGCCAAATAAAGATTCCCCAAGGCCAGTTTCAAATATGCTAAGGAGACAGGACACATCAGTAAATGCGGACAGCAGTCTAAGCTGGGTACATTATTTGCATAAGGAATGGTTCTAAGGGGATTTTTTTTTTACACTGTTAAATGTAAAAATCCTTACTTCTCTACCACTTCCTTGGATTTCTGCCTAATATCAGCCTTGGCTCATCACTCATATCTTTCTGCTGTGTTCTAACATCGAGAGAGCTGCTATTAGATTATAAACTCCATAAAGATGTCCTTGATCTTGCTTCCTGCTGCATCTTGGAGCCAGATGCCTAAAGGATGGATGCTTAGTCGGCATGGCCTAAGCCGAAAGACGGCAGGGGGAGGCACACTCTGTGCAGGCTTTCTGTTTGCACCACACAGCCTCTTGTCTTCCCCCACAAGGTGAGTGAGCGGGGATGCTGTCTTGAGCAGGGATGCTGTCCTGAGCAGAGGGGGAGGATGCTGTCCTGAGCAGGGATGCTGTCATGAGCAAGGATGCTGGCCTGAGCAGCGGGGGAGGATGCTGGCCCGAGCAGGGATGGTGGCCTGAGCAGGGATGCTGTCTGGGGGGGGGAGGGGGATGCTGGCCTGAGCAGAGGGGGAGGATGCTGTCCTGAGCAGGGATGCTGTCATGAGCAAGGATGCTGTCATGAGCAAGGATGCTGGCCTGAGCAGCGGGAGAGGATGCTGCCCTGAGCAGGGATGCTGCCCTGAGCAGGGATGCTGGCCTGAGCAGCAATGCTGTCCTGAGGGGGAGGGGGAGGAGGATGCTGGCCTGAGCAGAGGGGGAGGATGCTGTCCTGAGCAAGGATGCTGGCCTGAGCAAGGATGCTGTCCTGAGCAAGGATGTTGGCCTGAGCAAGGATGCTGGCCTGAGCAGAGGGGGAGGATGCTGTCTTGAGCAGGGATGCTGTCCTGGGGGAGGGGGGGGAGGATGCTGTCCTGAGCAGGGATGCTGGCCTGAGCAAGGATGCTGTCCTGAGCAGGGATGCTGGCCTGAGCAGGGATGCTGGCCTGAGCAGGGATGCTGGCCTGAGCAAGGATGCTGTCCTGAGCAGGGATGCTGCCCTGAGCAGGGATGCTGGCCTGAGCAGGGATGCTGTCCTGAGCGGGGATGCTGTCCTGAGCGGGGATGCTGTCCTGAGCAGGAATGCTAGCCTTTGGTACTTGCGTCTGAACTCCAAGCCCAAGTCTTCCGCCCTGTATCACAAACCTACAGAGGCAGCCGTACTGCAGGGGAGTACTGTTCAATTATTAAAGACTTGCTGTCTTCCTACCTGACCCCTCTTTGCACTGCTTCGATCGGAACCTAATTATTTGAGACCTGGAGCAGTCACAAAACTTGGATTTGCTACACAACCGAGGAGCAATTACAGCTAACGGTGTAGGTTCTTCGGGAACCTTCATCTCATTAAATTGAAACACACCTGATCTGGGTTAAGGGCCAGCTCTGCCCAGCGCTAGATAGGCTGTTGTCTACGAAGAGCAGCCACCTGTCCTAGGCAAGGGGAGGGTAGGCACGATGTGTCTGCCTAGTGCCAGCAC